GGACAGAGACGAACGCGGATAACAGAGATAGCCGAGGAAAGAGGGAAAGAGAGCGAAGCTGTTGGTAATCTGTGGGATAGGACGAAGAAGCAGCGAGGCATGTCCGAAGGAAAGGAAGCTCCGCGGACCTCAGTTCCGCTCGGTTCTCCTCTTCCTCCATCTCGCCGGTTGTTCCCAACCTTTCCGACGTTTCTTCTTCGCGAATCTTAGCCTTCGTATAAATCCAGCGTTTTGCTCTCTCGTTCGCGCCTGTTACGTATCGAGACGTTCCACGAACTTTGAACTTTCGTTTCGCGTCGCGTCGACGAAACTCGCGAGGCTCGATCGCGGAAGCTCTCGGTATCGTACGAGGTACGAGGCGCGGAATCGTTGGTCGATCGACTTTCCGTTTGCGCGAAAAGAAGAAAAGTTCGACAGTTTAACGGTTTCGCGACGGATCTATAAAATTTGCCCGTGTCCCGCGTAGCGCGTTAATTCGGTATACCGTCGTCGTATTTATATCGATTCTCGCGAGAACGCGTTACGGAGCAACTCGAATTCCTAGCGTCTATCCTCGTGTCTAGAGACGCGTCTATGCGAGGTCGACTCTATTTTCGCCCGGGTATCCGTCAGCTCGACCTCTTCCTCTGATTCCGAGGAAATCCTACGCTCGGCTTTCTTCCACGCTCGCTCGTCCGAAATTTCGGCCGATTGCCAGCAAACTCGCTAACGAATTTCGAATTTCTGCCTCTTTGTCAACCGAACCGATCTCCGTATCTCCGACCTAGTCGCGTATTTCTTCGCCTGTCGTCCGTTATAACGTCGTGCGTGCGAACCAACAACAAGGCGCCACCTTCTTTTCTTCTCTCTCTCTCTCTTTCTCTTTTTTATTTCTTTGACAAACTTTGAGTTTCACCGGCAAAATTCGAGCGTATCGAGCGTGTACGTACGACGAAACGCCTGACCCGGAGGAGCATCGGAAGTTTCGACGATCGATGGAAGCGATCGATTCGGACAAAGCGTAAAGCGAAAGGCGGCGTTTGCATAACGCGAAGAGGCCGGAAAAGAGAAGGAGAACGACGCGTCAAGCATGCCCTACGCTGTACGCGGCGAGATGTTCCTCGAGGCGTGCCCCGAGACCAGGTTTCGTGCGAGGCCACTGGATGTCACGAGACCTACTTATAAACGTTCCTACAGCGGCCTTTAGAGCGGCACGACGGTCTCTGGCCGAGCGACGAAATAATATCGCTTCCACGCGAGAAGAAGGAGGAATCTCAGCGACGAAACGGATCGATGAAATTTTTCCAACGGCGAGAAACCGGGAAACGTTGGACGTTTTCTCATCGATAGGAGGGCGAAACGCGTGGCTCGGCTACGCGACTGTCTCGAGGTAAAGCGGCACGCGGGAAAGCACGAGTTCGAAACGAGTACCGAGTGAAAAGTACCGGTTGCAACGGTACGGTATCGCGTATTATCTATAAGTTGGATTTCTCGGTGTATGCGTGGCTTTTCACGTGGCTTGGGAAGACACGGCGGGCCCGTTAGAGGCACGCGAGCAAACGCCGATGCGTCGATTTATACCGGCCGTTTTCTCCGTCGCTCGATACGCTGTTCGCTGGCTCGGGCCGCTTACCGAAAATCGTTGTCCGATCGACGTCTAACGGGCTAACGTTCTATCCGTTTATTTGCTTTGCGCTCGTAACCGGCGGTAAATTTTCCCGGCGAGAACGAGGTGGCGAGAACGGACGAAGCGTAAGAAGCGCCGAAACCTCGCGGCCAAATATTTAAAAGTCGCGTATACTCGAACGATATCCGTGAAAACGTAAGATCCGTCGACGGCAGGATCGACCCTGTTGCAAGCGCGTGTTGATTCCAAGGTGTCGGAATATTCGCGCGCGTCGACGTAGTTTACGCGTTCGGTCGACGATCGGAGATCCCCGCGTGTACGATAGACCGCGTGCATCCCAGCGGACAACGATGGTTCCATGGTCGTCGATTTGGGCGGTTGCGCGACGTAGCAGAGTCGAAAGGCTAAGGCGCATACGTAATGCGTATCTAGAAGCGTGGGAGCCATGCTCGAACGGCTTCCTCTCACGGCACTGCCACGCTTTATCTTGCGTTTATAAATAAGCCAATATCTCGCTCCCTCTCCCTCTCCCTCTCCTCTCCTCTCCTCCGTCACGCTCTCTCACTCTCTCTCTCTCTCTCTCTCTCTACCTGTCCCTCTTTCCTCTACCTCCCCCTCTCTCTGCACGCTCTCCGACCGCCTCTCCGTCTCTATATCCCTCTTTCTCGGCTCGAATAACTCGAACGAGCGA